GGGGGGGTAAAAGAAGAACCTCATGAAGCCTTTTCTCCAAGTCCAAGCTAACGGCGAGGAGTTCATTCCCAGTTTTCAAGCGTGGCCGGCCCTTATAGCAATATGGGTTAGCCCTTATCTGCATTTTTTTGTGGATTCGGATATTATGCAAAATATGAATAAAATATACTCCCTTCGTCTCATAAAGTGTTACCCATTTTGACTAAAGTTGAAATTAAGGGAGGGATAATTTTGTGTTGACTTTCCAAAAATACTCTTGATGTGATGGGTAAAAGTAGGATGTGATGTGTAGATTATTAGGAAAAAGGTATAATGTGATAGGCAGGGTTTGAAAAAGTAAGGGGTAAAAGTGGTTTTTTAATAGAAATTGGTAGGAGATTGTGGGATGCAATTTTTTTGAAATGTGTAAATCTTTTTGGGACGGAGGGAGTAAAACTTTTAAACACTCCCTTTGACCTTGTTCCTTTTAGTTTTTATTATTCCAATTATTTAAACTCTTGAATCCCAAAATGATTTTTCAATGTCTTTATTAATTACATTATCTCGATAACTTTTACTCCCTCCGTCCCCCTAAGATCTTCCCGTTTTGATTTTTTACGGTTTTTAAGGAGAGTTTAAAAAAGATGAAAGTTTACCATAATACCCTTAATGAAAATGGGTGGAGTGTATTGAATGAGGTGGGTGAGGTGTAATAAATAAAGTAAGTGGGGGTAGTTGTGGTATTTTAATTGATAAAAAAGGTAATGAGAAGATCTATGGTGGACAAATAAAAAGGACTAATGGGAAGATCTATGGAGGACGGATGGAGTATTTGTTTACATATTTTCATGAATAATTTGATGAAATAAATTATTTTGTCAAATCTTATTTTGTATCGACTAGATTCTAGAGTCACTAAAAAGAGTGGCAAGTAACGGAAGCCACTCACCCAATTGGAACACATACGATGCTTATTCAGAAAATTGATAATTCTTACCCCCATAATTTTTTGATAAATCTTTTTTACTTCAAAGTCAACTAAACTTGCATCTCGCAATTGACATGATTGGGAGAATGAGTTGGGGTCAGGACTGGGTGAGTGGGGGGTTTATCGGGGATTATGGCGAACGGAGTACCGTAGGTGTCCAAAATGGATGAGTGGTTTTCATAGCCACTCTTTTTAAATGGCTCTAGAACATAGCCAATTTTGTATATGTAAGAATTTTTTAAATTTCTATACTAATTTATAAATAAATTATTTTAAGACTAACAAAATTTTGTACATGAATTAAAGAATAATTTATTTTTGGACGAAAAGAATATGAGGTGTGGTCAAATAGAAATTCATGCAAATTTAATGACCAAGCCAAAAAAAGAAAATAGAAAAAATACCTCATCTCGAACTTGTGGGTCTCTAAAGGCGACCTCCACAAGATCTTGGGTCGGGATTAGTCTCCACGTGGGGATGACTTTGGAAAGTTGGGTCAATGCCCTAATTACCATAGGATGAGGCTTTATGTCTTCCGCAATCTGCATATATCATATATATATATATATCCATACATAAATGTTATTATCAATACTTTTTCATATTTGACTTATAATTAAATAAAATCTATAAAAAATTATTGATTAGATATAATAATATTTCAACAGGCAGTCTAATATATAAATTTTTTAAAGATAAAAATGGCATGAACAGTCAAAAAAGAAAGATCGGTAGAATTTATATTTAATTGAAAAAGATGGATTGACATATTTTATGAGAAGTATGTGTCACGGATACCAACTTTGAGCTATTTCTGAATGTAATTAATAGAAAATTGTCATAGTCATTTTGTTCAAGTTAGCTATGTGTAAGTTCCTTAGGGTGTATATATCTCAATTGTGATGTCAATTACCAAAACAAATTGCGCACAACGACAAAGGACCAAGAATAATATTCGTTCTTTTGATGGATATAAAAAATATTATTCTTTGCGTCTTAATTATATTTATAATCTCCGTTTTATTTTTTTGGGATGTATTAATTAATTTTACATATTTCTTTGTCACGCAATATTGATCTCGTTCTGTTAAAGAGTATCCCACATCAGAATTTGAAAAGAAAATAAATTGATATATAAGCTCTTGTGTTGAACTAAGTAATCGTTTAGATTCAATCTTTTAATATGGTTCAGTCCAAGTGTCTTATTACCTAACCTAGTTATCGTACTTTTTTTAAGGCAAAAAAAAAAAATAAAAAAAATAGGAATTTAATTTTGGACCAATGGCGTAATAACAATAAATATATCGTCTAAGTTTGTCCACTAGTTGGTTTAGGCCGGCCGTCAAAAAAAGTTGGTTTAGGCCGAATACCGAATTACGGAGTACTTTCCACTTAATATTAAAAAAAATCATTTTGTTTTGATGGGAAAAAAAGTATGTGGTAGAAAATGATAGAGAAAATAGAGAAATTATAAGAGTCATAAAATGTTTTTTTACTTTTTACAAATTGAAAAATGAATATTTTTTTATGAGACAGACGGAAAAGAGAATTTAGAATTTTTTAGGCACGAGTAACATTTCGTGTAGATCAACACTAATATGCAACAATTTTGGTGCACAATAGAAGCGTCTAATTTTGATGTTTTTAGTGCTAATTTACCCAGTCAAAGAATTTAAAACATTAAAGTTTATCTAAAATTTGATATAGTTTTATACGGAGTATAAGAGAAAACTAATTAAATTTTTTCTACTAAAATAGGATGAAATGTTAATGTAATTGATTATTAAAATTAACTATGGAGTATATATAATCCGTATATACTCCGTAGGACTCGAAAGATCAAATTGGATTGATAGCCTATGAAAAGCTTGGTTATACCGGGTACTATGTCAATAGAGTTGAAAAATCCACCTAAGACTTTTAGTAGAGGTGAAAAAATAAAGTATAGAGAGTGTTAATTCATTCTTCACCAAAATTAGAAAAATACGGAGTAATACTCGGTCAAAATTCAACAAAAATAAAAAAAAAATATCCTCTTAGTCATGTAATAATGTTACATACTCCCTTTTTTTCATTTCTGAAACAAAGTTAATATTTTTGTGACTATTACTATTTCTATCTTTTCTTCATCTTTTTCAACAATGCATTTTTAAATCATTTTCCTTAACTAATCTATATAGAGAAATTACCTAAATAGGACTAAAACATAATGACTTTCCCAATATAGGACCATATGTTTTTATTTCCCAATGTAGGATCTTTGGTCATTATCAAGTAGTCATTATTCAACTAAATGTCCATTATTACTGGACATTATTCCTTCCACTATGTCATTATTAAGTCCTATTTAGGAAATAAAAAAGTTAAAGTCCTACGTTAGAAAAGTCATTATGTTTTAGTCCTATTTAGTGCAAATTTCACATCTATATTGATGGGTATATCCCTATACCCGGCCCAGATAACCGAAAGGGACAGGTCAAAATATGACCGGTCACTTTCATCAATCACCAAATGAGGTGAACTTTCGGATTGGGACGGGTCAAAAGTTGACCGGTCACTTCCACTAAAAAAGTGACCGGTCACATTTTGGGCGATAGCCAAAATGTCGCCTAATGTTACAAAGGACATTCTAGAAGACCAACGAGACGGATTGAGCGCAAGAAATGACCGGGTAACCTTTCAGAAAAGGTGACCGGTCATATCATTTTACTTGGCTAACATTGGTCCAGTCTCTTAGACATGGTGAACCACATCAGAGGTCAAGGGGACACCCCGCCGCTCATCCATCACGAGGCACACAGTGAAAGGGATGTTTGTCATTTTGCAGGGTTGATTGGATTGAGAATATCCATTTTAGTCCTTGATTGAACAGTGCTTTTTGGTTATATTAATAGCAAGTCTTTGATTGTACAGTGCTTCCATTATCTACAGTGACCTTCCCACGTGCTTCATATTTTTTCCATGGATGAACATGGGAAGGTCACAAATCCTCCTCTATAAATATGATGATATTTGATAGAGGAGGGGATCCATTCTTTATCTCACTAAAACTAGTACACTCTTGAGACAGAGTAAGAAATATATTTCGGACTGAGGAGATTTACCCGGTCTAGGTCATACTTTGTGTTCTTGTGGTGTGTTTTATATTACGGGTCGAGTGTGTCCAGGTCAAATCCGGTCAACCCACCCAGCTAAATTTACACCATCATATATATAGATTTAATTG